CTGTAACTTTAATTTGGGAAGGGGGCGCGCCTGTACTTTATATGCTTCTGCGTGGAAATTGTCATGTATGTGTGGTGACGTCAGGCTAACGGGGGTGAGGGCGAGGCTAGCGTCCGTCCTTCGCGCGTCCACACGACCACTCACACACTGACCCCGGCCGGCCCTGTGTCGCTGCGCCTGCGCGCATGGCCGCGCCGTCGCCCCACTAGACAGTAGTAGATCGATAGGTCCACCACGCAGCAGCGGCAGCCTATCGAGCCAGTGGGTAGTCGTACTTGGTACGACGACGGGGACGCGCGCGTCCACCGACCCCGCCGGCCATCTCTCACGACGCCTATACATGCACACGGTTAATCAACCATGTAAGCGGAGCGAGAGAGATCATCATATTACCACCATTCAGCTCTTGTTTAGTTCGCGAAATTTGGATTTTGGGGCTACTGTAGCACCTTCATTTTTATTTGGTAAATAGTATTCAAACATGGACTAATTAGGCTTAAAACGTTCGTCTCGCAATTTCCCACCAAACCGCCGCATTTAACGCCCATACCACCAAAAACATTCATTGATGCGAAGAAAAAACTCGTTAAAAATCTCGATCCACCAGTGAAGTACGCGAACGTAAACGTACCTAGTACGGTGATTAAATCCCCGTGCCTCCAACTGTTTTCCGGTGATGGAGTACACACATCCGCACGCACGGAGATCCAACTGCAAACGCCGGCACGTCAACCCGTCCCCCCACCCGGCAACGCCATTAATGCCACCACCACCTCCACTCCGATCGTGTACCCGCGCAACGCAAGCCTCCTCCGCGACCGCGAGATTGACAGCTCGCCGTCCGTACGCGCGCGTGGCCGTCCAAGCAACCGGCGGCGACGATGTGATGTCGTCATCCATCGGTGGCGCTGGCACTGCGCGCAGGATCCGATGCCCGACCCGCCTCCGTCCATGCTGGGCTACCTCTGTACCGACCAGGACTACTACTGTTGCTAGCTTGCTAGCCAATGAAAGGGCACCCACAGTTACTGCACCCTGCTTCCATTGCCTGATGACCACTCCCATCAGATTGACTCCGACCCCAGCATAGGTGGAGGTGCCATGCCCACTGTCTACCAAACCTTTAGGCTGCCCCCAACAAAGGGCCCAGGAAAGGATCGGCAGTAATTGAATCAACAGGGCTACATAAACAGAGGAAAAGCAACCAAGTTACACCGATTTAGTTGTTAATGTCAGCTTATTTTACCCATAACAAGCAACTTATAAATTGTAGCACATAGGCCTGATATACCATTGCATGGTACACTTATTAGTTTGTTTATTTCAAAAAGCTAGAAACAGGTTCTAAAACCTTGCTCGAAATAGGTCTGGTCACAAAGTTTTAGCTTATTTTGTCCCTAGACAACTTATAAATCGTACCAAATAGGTTTGATATACCATTGTATGGTGCAGTTTTTGCTCTATGTTTTTCTATAGCTTGAAACGGGTTGCAACAAAAAAAAAACGCGCACAAACGGTTTCGTCCAAGTGTAACTGCCGGTTGACCTGTCTTGGTAAACCACGCACAAACGTGTAAGTCTATATTTGTCTTTAACGTGACTCAAAATAGCGTTCGAGCGGTTGCTTTCAACAGTTATTTGTTAATTCACTCGATCTATCCGTTAGCAACCTATTGTCATGTATGGAAACCAACCTTAACTTAGTGCAATGCACAACTGTGAGGAGCGGTTTCTTTCGAAACAAATATTTGGTAAGATCGCCTAGTTAATTGGTCTAAAATTTTCTTTGGGATGCAAAGTTACCTAACTTAACACTACACAAAACCACATTTGAACAGTTCCTTTCAAGCTTAATATATCTGTAGGCGATAGGTTTAGCAACTAATATGTGTGTAATGCAAGTTTTTGATGTCTTAACATAATCTAGAACTGAGATCAAGGTGGCAGTTACTCCCTCCAATAAAAAAAAAGATATGTCATTTTTGGCGTTTTGTGGTCTTCAAAGTATGCAAAATTTCTATTGGAACTTTAAATATAGCTATAGTGTCTAATGAATGAATGGGATTATTGAAACATTATTTTTAAGACAAATCTACACTTGTAATTTTTAGATTTCCAAATTAAATAGGATATAATAATCAAAATTTCAAAAGTTTGACCATATCTTAATCAAAATGACATATATTTATTATCCGAGGGAGTACTTTTCTTTCAATGTTAAAATCCAAATATATCCCCTCACAAGTCACAAGGATAACCAACACATTGACCTTCTATCTATTCATTTAAAGCAAACTAAAACCGTTATCGAGTGGTTCCTTTGAAGCCTAGTATTTGGTAACTTGGTGTATCAACCCATATCTTAATCAACTTGTGGCCAACCCATCTTCACCATGGATCCCACCTTGCTCAACCTTTGGTGTGAACTTCACTTAGCATGGGTGCCATTCCCTTGTGTACCAAACCTCCCCCCCCCCTCCCACACACAAAGGGCCCACAAAGGATCGGCAGTAATGATGGCCCTATTTAAGCTACATATAATAGAGGGAAAGCACCGTTAGTACTTAAGAGAAGCGTGTCTGATATACAGCCTATTAAATTTGGCTGGGCTGGATCGTGGATTATTTACTGCTGACTGGTTTGGTGTGAGAGAAAAATACTTTATTCAAGCTTATAATTCATGATCGTATACGATCGTTTACGGCCTACCGAACAGGCTGATAGTTTTTTTTTGACATAGATGGAAACGGTGGGAAGAAGCCCGACCAGATAAAGCTACAGAGAAATCACACCTTTTGAGCTATTAATTTCAGATTATATTTACCTATAAGCAACTTATAAATTGTACCACATACGCCAGATATACTGTTGCATGGTACACTTAGTGAAACTACTATATATCGTTGCAATGTAAGTTTGCATGGTAAACACTACACCACAACACTAATATAGCATCACATGTGTGTCGTTATAAATATATTAATACCGTTGCACCGTCGGTCGGTATAGCTAGCCCACGTATCAAGTGTCGGTAAATGTACATGTTGCGATAAACCATCGGTCGGTATAGATATTTACCTATACAGTCAAACAGTTGGTCGGTTTAGATCAGTATAGAGGACACACCTTCGGTCGGTATAGGGCCGTGCCTTTTGGCGCTGCGGTGTGTGAAATAAGAAGAAGAGTTCATGGAGATCGAAAATGAAACAGGGCCCATTCACAGAAAACTGTTGGGCCCAAATACGATCTCTCCAACCCTAACTCTTGGTCGCTTGGGTCTTGGTGCATCTTCAGATTTCATCTGCCCGCCGCTTCCACCGCAAGTCTCAGACTCACCAAATCCTTGCCCGCTGCTACCAAATCCGCAATGACGCACGCGCCGCCACCCATCTTCATCATCGCCAGATCTCACCAAATTACCACCAAATCCCTACACGCCGCCCAATTCATGACCGCCATACCGCCTAACTCCTCCGCCACTAATCAGGCTACACTTGGCCACAGCGTGATTCGCGTCACGTACCAACCTCGCACGGCCGCCCAAATCCGCGCCCTTGCCAGTCCAACAAATCCTCCTTCCTTCCTCCAAAACGCCCTTACATACGGCCACACAAATCCCCCATCATTGTCACGCTAGTTTGCCAAATCACTGGATTACACTATTCTATTTAGGAGCGATAGTTCCGTAAGAGACGATTGGTAGGCGTGTGTGTGGACTACTCTTCTTCGTCATTTCCCTAGAAGAACATGTCTGCATTTTTGTAAGTCTCTACTACTCTCGTATGTCTCGCTACTCTTCTCCCTAAGTCTGCATTTTTGTTTTTTACTAATCAAAAAGCAAAGATAGCGTATATATAGCTGGAATCCAGCAACATATTGCAAAGATATCAAATCTAAAGTGACAAATGGACATGCTTTCTATTCACGCCTCACACATAACTCTTTGAAGTCGAGAGTGTGCCATAAAACTTCCCTATTTGCGCATGTACATCGGTGCCATTCGAGGTTCTGCAGACGACGGATAGGCATCATCTAATATTCAATAGGTTCTCAGAGAAACCCCTTTATCGCTCCTTGTCGGCTGCAGTTCCCCATAGAAACGTACGTATGTGTCTTCCTGCTATTACATTCAATGCTTGCCATATAGTGTTATCCTCTACATCTATAGAAATGTATATAAATAATGTGTGTGTTTACATTTAAGCTTGTCGTATAGTATTATCCCCAGTGTTTCCCATGATTCAGTTGTATAACATTGTTTATTGATAACCAATATGTTTGCATTGTACATTTCTACATACCTCCATTGAAAATCGGTTTTTGTCATGGCACACACGCGCTGACAGACCAGATGTGCTAAATGATGATATGATTTTGCGGGCAGTAGCCTGATCTCAATTTTTCCTGTTACTCTAGCGTGTCACCCTATATATAAGTTCATGTGCAAAGTAATAGAAAACATAAATGCAGACTATTATCTTTTTGGCATAATCAATTTACTGCACTACTTTGTTTTGCAATTCATGTCTCAACATACTTATACATGTACTGATTTGATGTCATGTGTATTAACACTACAGCTGCCTTGGTGCATTGGACGTGTAGCTGAAAGAATCTGCACAGGTCCGTCTACCCTAGTCTAGAGCCGAAGTGGGCAACTTGCAATCTTTTGGAGATTATTTGAACAGCCACAACGTTGGCAGTTGCTCTTCTTGTGCGTACTGGTATGATACTCTTTCTGTAGGCCATCTTTTTTAATATTGTTGTGGACATGAACACGACAATCGTGTTTAAATTAAAACTGTTATGTGGATTCATGGATATGAGCAGGATTGTCAAAGTATGTAGCTTCTTTGCTGCTTATGGTCTTTTTTTATTTTATAGTTCATTTCTAAAGCTGCTTGATCTTTCACAAAGGGGAATGGATAAATCATGGATCGATAATGATGCTAGGTACAAAGACTTATTTCACAAAGACTGAAAGTTCTATTTGTAGTTAACATGGGAATTAACTTAAAAACTGCATGTAGTCACACCAAGATATATCAACAAGGGGTGAACAATTTCATAGCTTTTGCATTTGAGAATTCAGCGGTAGGAAGCAAGATACTATGCCCTTGCAGAAAGTGTGTTAACTCATTTTGGAGGGAGGGAAGTGAAGTACGTGAGCATTCGATATGTGATGGGTTTCTAAAAGGGTATAGAACATGGACCTTACAAGGAGAAGTTAGCTCTTCTCTGAATCATGGAAACTATGATGGTGTTGAACTTATGGAGGAGACTGACGAAGATGATAACATCTCTGATTTGCTTAGGGACTTAGCTGCTGGTTTAGATGATAAAGGGGATTTTGATGACAACAATTCAGACCTAGAACCCTGTGAGGAGCTAGTTGCCATTCAGAAGTTAGTAGCAGAGAATAGCAAAGAGTTATACCCTGTGAGGAGCTAGTTGCCATGTAGCCTGCTCCCTCTCCATCTGTGCAGCCTCATGTACGCAGCGTGCTCCTGCCTCCTCTGTGCACATTGCTGTAGGAAAATCAATTGATCTTCGTCGGGAGTGCAGCACTACTAGTCCCATAAAAAATGTAGCCCCACGAAAGAAGAATAAACCTCCTCGTGTTTCACCTGTTGACCTTGTAATTTTCTTAATATAACCTTGCTTTCAGTTCTTGCAGTTCTATACATTTGTTCAATTTTTGCTGACAAGTGCATAAACCATTTCAGGTTGGAAAGGAGGTCACATTATATGCCTTGTTTTGACTAGAAGCTGTGGCTAAGGCAACAGTCATTTCAACAAATCCAACCAATGTACTAGGAGGCCAGCCTCTTGGAAAGCAGTATTGTGAAGTTGTTGCGAAGATTGTGATTAAAAGGGATACAGTGCTACCTCGTCCTTTTGGTGACATTGAGACTTTGGCTGATGCAAAGTCAATGAATACCAAGCTGCAATTTGTGATGCTGAACACACCCTGCTATGCATACAACACACTATCAAGAGAATTTGGTACTGCTTGTTCTTATTCATTGCCATCTAAATATATTTGTTGGGCTGTTTTTTTCTGAATTTTACATTCATCAAACTGCTATTTGTGATGCTTCAGTAACCATAAACGTTACCTTTGTCCCAGCCTCTGCCTCTCGAAGGTCGACTCCTTTGTCGTTCTCCTCTTTCACCCACTGAACTAAGTTAATAACCTTGAATCATCGGAATGAGGAAAAAGGGAACCCATGCCAGCAACTGTGAATCCCTGAAAAGTTTCCTGCTTGTGTTTGTACGCGATATAAAGCCATGAAGAGTACAGCTATTGCATATAAAAGCAATGTAATAAATTACATTATTTACATATATCGGTGATGCCTGCTTTTGTTAAGTTTTAGACGTGTCTCCGGCTTGCAAGGCTGTATGTAGTTTTGCTTACTGCAAAAAATAGTAGTTAGTGAAAGCCTATTTTAATCAGCATGAGAATGATATTATGTTTCTTTCTTTAATATGAGATTAATTATTTCATAAATGAGAAATAGTTCTTGCATATATTCTTCAAAACCATGACACGGTGGCGTTGGTCCAATGAGTTCTCCCTGTCCACAGATTGAAAAAAAAAACCAGTGTTTTTCACTAACATTATGCTTCTTTTTAAGTGTCCTCGGCATGTATTTGATTGATTAAAAATAGCAATTTGACCACATCACCACAGGCCTGTACTTATTACAACTGTTAGATAATGAACAGTGGATTTGCCAAGTCCATCTTAGTGACAGGTAGAAAACTGCTCATGGCTACTCTTAGTAACTTTATCTTGCCTTTTATGATAGACAAAGCAATAGCAGTTTTGATTATGCAAAATTTATCTTTGGCTGAACTAACTATCAGCTTCAACTAACTACCATCAATGTCTCTGTTAGTTAGAAACGCCTTGGTGAGATTAACAGTTTACTAGAAGCACAATTGGAATGTCGCATCCGACATAACAAAGTAATACAATACAAGTTGGAACCGAAAATATGATTTGATTTTTTCGTGGAAGGCGCTAGATGTAACGTGATTATTTTGTGTCGAATAAGCGATCAAACATTTTGTATGATGGAGATGAAACATCAATGGATGCTAGTTGCTTTGGATGATATAGCATTTTGTAAAGAACTGCTTGGGGATGGATGCTAGTTGCTTTGGATGATGTAACATTTTGTAAAGAACTCCTTGGGCATGTTAGCTGTGAGGTGTGCAAGCCAGACTTGTGTGTTGTGAAGAATACTGTAATTTGGCGTCTCATGTTATTGTGAGGTGTGCAACCCAGCATGACTATTACATGTACCAATTGGCATGAATGAAATCTAAGCTATGTCATTGTGACTCGATTTTGTGTCTCATGTTGAATGTGACCTTGTATGTTTCATGTCTAAAAGAATACTGTAATTTGGTTAATGTGAGATTAATAATGTATTTTTGCGTCATGTGATCTATGTGTTGGATTGTTGGTTGGTATAAATCCCTTTAGCCTTGAATTGTTGGACGGTAAAACTACTATATGCCATCACTGTTGGTCGGTATTGCTTCAGCATTTCGTCAGACTATCGGTGGCTAAAAGTATGTCGATCGCTATAACCCTATCCTGACGCCACTTTCAGCGGCAGTAGTTAAGTGTCGGCATAGATCTATACCGATCGATAGTGCGTCGCTGTATCCACCTATAGCGACCAATGGTGCATCGCCATTCTGGGGCTGTGGTGTAGTGAAATGAGAAACTACTATATGCATGTGTAAGTCTATGATCACCAGGAGCTATCCAACTACTCGGACGCTTGCTCGTTCAAACTACTCGGATGTTGTATCCACCTGGAGCCGAGCTGTTGAAGCAAGCGTCCGAGTAGTTTGAACGAGCATACGAGTTGGTGGCGGGGCTCCAGGAAGTAGCTCTCTCCATTCAGATGGTTTAAAGCCAATGCAGTCAAGCATGAGTTTGATCCCTGCTTTCATCGCTTCGATCTCTTCATCCCGCGCTTTCACTTGGTCTCCAAAGACGTTGAACTGAGCACGCGCCTGGTGCCGGTACTCTGCAAAGAACAAGCAACCGTATGCTAAGCATGCATTCAATAACCATAGTAGCCGCCTCAAGAGGGGCTCTCCTCGGTCGCTGCTGTGCTCGGACGGGTTGTCTAGGCCTTGCCTCTGCTATTGATGCCACCAGTGCCGTCGTTTGCTCAGCAACCATGGGCGGCTCCCATGTCATGGTGCTCGACGCATCCCCTACGGCTTCTGCCCCTACTTCGGCAGGATCAGCTGGTATCACCCCTGTGGCCCACAACTCCTCATCACCCGGATCCCCTCGTCGTGCACCCCACCTCCATGGCAGGGGCGGCTGGTTCCGCAGCCCCTGGCTACTCGGTGGGGGCAACTGGATTTGCTCCCCCTTGTTCCTACTAGACTCGGGGAGTTTTTGGTTCACCGCATGCTCCATGCCATTAGTAGGAGCAGCCTGTAGGTCTTCACTCGACTTCACACTTCAGCCCACAAACAACTCATCGGCAATCAGCAAACAGCGCTAAAAAAGAATTACGCACAAAGAGGGAAACATACAGTTGGGACTTCGGCTGTGCTGTTCGGAACCGGCGTGATCGCCCAGAGCCACAAACTCCGGCATCTGAGCTGCCCGACACCTCCACGGGCACCGCCGAAGTAACCCGCGTAGTCCCAGGGGCTTCGGTGGCCGCCTACACTGCTGCCACTGGAGTTGTACGTGGGGTCTCGGGGATTGCCGGTGCCGCCCGGGCCACCGCTGCTGGTACCGCCCGAGCACTGTCGAGTACCGGCATGGTGTTTTCCCGCATCCGCCGCCTTTCGCGTGTCTCCAGGAAGAAAAGGAGGGGTCCCTACCCGCCTTATATAGCCTAGGGGTAGGGTTACAGATCGGTTGTTTCTATAGTGATCGGTTTACAAGATAAGAAGTTACAGATATTACGGAATCTAGCATATCCAAGCAGATTTCCTAGATCACCGAGGATCTTTACGTAGTCTTGCGAGGAACGCTCACCTACGCTGTACTTCACGCTGCGTCATCTTGTAAGTTGGGCCTCGACTAGTGGTACGACCCAAGCGCGGTCTTGTGGGCTGGGCCTCCCCTAACAGCTTGGCCCATGTACAACCCTCGGGTATCGGGCTCATACCCCCACACTGATGTATTTAACACGATCCAAAGCCATCTTCAAGCAACTACTTTTAATAGTTATTTGTCAATTCACTCTATCCACTAACAACCTATTGTCATGTATGGAATCCAACCTTAACTTAGTGCAACACACAACCGCAGGGTGCGGTTTCTTTCGACAAATGTTTGGTAAGGTCGCCTCGTTAATTGGTCTGAAATTTCCTTTGAGATGCAAAGTTACCTAACTTAACCCTATGCAAAACCACATTTGAACAATTGCTTTCAAGCTTAATATATCAATGGTGTAGGTAAATGAGTAACTAGTATTTGTGTAATGCAAGCATTTCTTGTGTGGACACAATCTAGAACTACGCTCAAGCTAGCGGGTTATCCAATAAAGGCCCCGTTCGCTTCGTTGAAAAAACAAGCCGAAACACTGTTCCAGCTGATTTATTGTGAGAGAAAAACACTGTTCCGGTTGAAAAACAAGCTGAAAAAGACGGATTATAAGAGAAACGAACAGGCACTACTGGAGATGGTCTTTTTGGCGAGGGCTTCTGGGTTTGCCAAGGGCTAGATCTCGGGCACTCGGCAAAGGGGGTCTTTGCCGAGGATCAGCCCCAGGAGCCCTCAACAAAGCTAGGCCCTCGGCAAACAAACGGCCCTCGGCAAAATAAATCTTTGCCGAGGGCCTAGCCCTCGGCAAATTGGCCCTTGGCAAATATGGCCGGATGGGTCACGGCGGCCACTGGCTTCAGTCTTTGCCGAGTGCCCGCCGTCACACACTCAGCAAAGATTTTTTATTTTTTTTAAATATTCTTTGTCGAGCGCCATTCTCCGTGCCCTCGGCAAAGATTTTTTATTTTTTTTAAATATTCTTTGCCGAGGGCCATTGGCCAGGCCCTCGGCAAAGATTTTTATTTTTTAAATATTCTTTGCCGAGGGCCATTGGCGAGCCCTCGGCAAAAGACCCCCTTTTTGAGGGCAGGCTAGACCCTCGGCAAAGAGTTTTTAGTTTTTTAACCCAGTTTTTTGTGCTATAATACATTATTTAAATCTCAATTTTAACATTTGGGACAAATTTGACTTTTTGATATCTTTCCCTAATTTATTTTTTTCATTGATTTTTTCGAATATTTCAAATTTGAGCTGCGGTGGATGGAATAATTTTTAATGATTCGAAAAATGTTATTAATGGTATTTAGTGTATGTTGAGTTCCTATCCACGAACTTCGCATCAAATTTGGGCATCTTCTTCACGTAAAATTGATTAAGGAACTTGTCGGAAAAGTCCGAAAAATTATAT